CCGTTCAGAAGGTTATTATATGGCTCACTTATGGGCAAAAAAAAGGAGAAAAATCTGATTAGCGTCGCATTCGTCAGCTGTGTGAATGTAGCCTCTGTAAAGTGGTGTGACTTCATAGCAAGAGGCAAGTCCGCCACATTTGGTTTAGCAACTCGAGTAACGAGAGTTTAAAACATGAATCACTCTCATGTTTTCCTCATCAAAACTTTAAAGCTGGGAAGAAAATTACAAGTACTGGTTTCTTGTGATGCTGGTTGGTATCCAGGTTGTAGGAAAATTATTCACAACCACACATCAAGTTCAATTTCTTCAATCTTCAGTGTTTAAGAATTTGGATTGAGGATTTTCTTGCATCTTCATGAACCTAATTGATTGGAATCATGTACAGGACTTTTTTTTTCTTTCATTTTTGGTCGCTCTAAAGATATTTTTGGAAACTAGTCCAATCATTTCTGTGAAAGCGCCGCGCGAGAGGCCTTGCTTGTGCATCTCAACATCTTGCCAGGTTTAAAGGTAGAAAACATGAAAAAATGACAGGAAAGACAAATTTCTGTACAGATTCAGAACCATAAGGCTACGGCCTTAAAGTTTTGCCCGGCTGTTTAACAGCTCGCCTGATTTTAAATGCAGTTTTCAACAATTTGCATACTTTATTTCCCACTCGCTCTTGTTTCTTCTTTCTGCATTTTGAAGCTCTGCCTAGTAATTGTGATCCATCAGCACCAAAAAAAATGAACATTTTGACCAGGAAAGCATACGTTGAACTAAAGGGAGTAGAAAGAACAGCTTGCATTAAGATTAAGCAATCCCACTTTCTGCTTTTTTTTTTTTTCTTTTGCTCATTTTTTTTCTCAGTTAAACCGTTTGGGCCCTCCACCCAAACACTCATTTGCGCAGGGTCTCCACCGCTATCCCCACTGTGTGGAGTGGGCCAGCGAAGCATTTCCACAGCTGCGGCCAGGAGCGCTCCCAAGTTTTCACGGAGACACATAAAACTCCTCAAGACTTCCAGATACACAGACACACACACAAAAAAGGAGGAGAGGAAGGACTCTGCAAGGATTGTGTAAGTTCCAGGCATACCTCATGAAAAGCCTGAGTCCGTTTCCTGGAAAAAAAGAACATCTTTGGCCCTTCACGGAGGCTCCCACAGCCACACACACAGTAGTAGGTTGCTGGTCAAGATCTTTGTTGAGGTAATGGCATTGCTTACGCCACTGTGGTTACCTCATGTAGTCTGTGTCTATTTCTATCTGCTTTGAATATGATGACTCGTGCTGTGCTGCCTGAGAGTGTGTGCGAGTGTATTCAAGCGTGTGACTGAGCTCCAGCCTACGTGTGTTGTCTGTCCATTACGGCTGATAGGTGGCCAATTATAGCTGCCGTCTTTCAGGAGCAGATGAGAGGAAGAGTCGGACCGATGTGCACATTTGCTTTCCGTGTTGGAGACATTTATATGGACCGTCGAATGTGGGTGCCTGACTGTAAGAAATGATCATTTTAGATGTATTTGGAAATTATGTTTAAAAATAGACGTGCTGTGCTGTGGAAAGGTTTTAGGTAAATTAACACCACTATTGGCAGTTAGAAAAAAATCTCATGCAAGCTGAAAAATGTAGCATACATCGCTAGAAACTTTACTTAAAGGGACGATATTACGTTTTCCAGCCACATAGTATCGTTTTATAGCACAATCAAGTAATTGTGCTACCTTCAGTTTAGTTGTTATAAAAATGCTATAAATATAAAACATGACTGAAAAGAAATTTGACTTTGTAATTTCGACACTCTTTTCAACATTAATCTATCAAGCGTTCACAAACGTTCGTCAGGGCACTGGACTGAGAAATAGCTCGTATAGTGAGCTCAGCAGATGCGCAGCTCCACCAGGTGTTTGCTAACTGCTGCTGCCGCTAGTCTGAAGGAGCAGAGTGGGGGAGTCGCAGGGAAGAGGGGCTCGGCTTGGAAAATGGAGCTTGGTTCACTCAAGCGTTTTACAAATCCAAAGAACCAAAGCAACACTCCAGGTATGTTCTTGAATAACATTACAACATGATGTAAAGCCAAAAAAAAAAAAAATCCATATTACAAAAAACTGCCCCTTTAAAAAAGAAAAATATCCTTTTACTTGAACTATTTCTGAAGAGACATCCCGTCCCGGTCATATAATGTGGCTGTTTTTCCACAGTGAAAGCCTGTTCCTGGGTAAAAGCTAGAATGGAAGTTCCCCTCTCATGGAGCGAAGGAGCGTGAAGAGGGAAAGAGAGAGCAAGGGAAGATATGAGCGGGGGAGTTTGAAGAGAGGGCAGCAGAGGGAGAGGATAATTTACCAGTGACATCAAGGCAGCATGAGAAGAATGAAGAGTAAAGAGTGGAACAGAAACCGTGATGTGGGGGGGGGAGGCTCCAAACATCGGCTAAGTGGGTTAGTGTAAGCCCATCGTCCCTCGCTAAACAAAGCCTGCTCAGAAAGCCTCTCTGCATCAGTGGGAAACATGAAGTACACAGAGAAAACGGCAAACTGGCAAACGTACTGTTGCCTCAGTACTGGTCACTATTAAGGCTTCACTTCCTGTTTGGTTTGAATATCATTTTTCAGCAAAACACATAAAATATTGGCTAAAACATTCTGAATAGAATCAGCCACATTCAACCCTTACAGCCAGTCACAACCTGATAAAAGACAATAACTTTACTTTGGTTATTTTAAAGCTTCATGAGACATGTGTCCTAACATTTTCAATTATTATCATGTAACTTTTCCAAACCAGATCAGGTCATGAACAGTTTGTTTTTAAAAAAAAGGCGCGTCAGCGACCTGAACGAGAGCATAAGGAAAACAACGTGAATCAAACGGGTCAAAGGCTGAAATATGTCAGAGTTGAGGCCTTATCAGTTTTTCTCAATGTTCAAACGTTACCAGTTCTGATGAAATTAGCATGTTGTGTCAGCGAACTTCAATGCAATCCACTCAATGTGTCTTAAAAGTATGAAAAAATATGTGCAAAACTCTCCGAACTGCAGTGATTTTTACTTCTGAAATTCGAGCCGCATCTTCAGTCAGTGTTTAAACACAATAAAATCACTTTCGCTTTAGGCATCAATGTGTGAATATTTCTAAAGAGTTACTCATTTTTTCTCGTCTGTAAAATTGAAGTCAAATTTAAAGAACACTGAAATATTTCACTAATGATGAGTCCTGTGATAATGTTGCAGTACTTTCACATGAATCAACTCAAAAGGAAACAATTCTGTAGAGCCAAAATTATTTATTCATTTATTTCAACTAATCACTCCAACATAAAAAATTTAGTAGACAAGTCCTGAGATGCATAAAACGAACCACAACAAATTAGCCAGAAGTCTAGTTTGAGCTGTTTGACCTCAAAAGTCATAAACTTCCCCGGCCAACGTATTTCTGCTCACATTCAGCGAGGACGGCACAGAAGGCTGAAACTCTGAAGAAGTTATTTATCCAGCAGGCACAGAACTTTCCAAACACTACACAACGTTATCAAGCAAACATTTAGACAACACAGCGCTCTTCCAACAGAGCGAGATAGGTGAATCACATCCGGTGAGTAAGAAGATTATTCAGCTGGGAAGGGAGGGAAGGAGTGCTGTCTTCGTCGGCCCAGTGACAGAGCCAAAGCTGCTCTAATTTTCACTCCCACTATCACCACAGGATCAATAGCGTACAATCATGAGCGCTGAAACTTCACAAGTACACATGGAAGCAATGGGGAGCAGCAAGGTGCAGCTCCCTGAAGCACTGCTGCTGCTGCTTTAAAAGGAGCTTAGCCATAAATAACGGTATGGCGGAACAGCTTGTGTCTAAAATATCAAGGGAATACAGGCAAGTGTTTATCAAGAAAGGATAAAGTTAAAAAAAGGAACCTATATATGTCTAAATCAGGTATAAAATATTTTTATCTCAACAGATTTCACAAAGTCCTTTACGTGGACACAGTCACAAAAACGTCGCATCTAGTTGGTGATTAATAAAAATAACCCTCAAGAATAAGACTTGGCTAATAATTGTGTACTAATTGTTAGATACAGGTAGACATGAAAACATCTGAGTATTGTGAAAAAGTTTAATATTTTTTGTCACTCGTTTCAGAAATTGAAACTCATAGATTTATAACAAATAAAATGAAATTCATTCTATTTTTTAAGGTTACGGCTGAGAGATAATGAAAACCCAAAATAACGGCAATCAAATAATATGAATTTTTAATCTAAAATTGTTATCTAATGGACATATTACTGGCATAATGTGACTACTAACTTGACAGATTTTCAGGAAATACTCATTGACATCCTCCTAGCGGGCAGCAAGCCAGAAAAGGTTGTTCACAGAAAGTTGAGTGGATGGAAGAAGTGCAAATAATGATAAACAATTGTTAAAATGCAAATGTTGCCTTTTTTGTACGACTGTCAACTAAATGTTTACTGTCCATTCGTTATAATTTTGTTTTGATCTTTACATTTGATCAAAAATCAATTTGACATTGGTTGCAGTAGAGTGCAGAAGGTGGTTGATTCATTTTCCTCACATGCGTATTGGAAACTGCTGACTTGCTGAGTAAATTTAGGAAAAAATAGACAAATCACGGTAAATTAATTTGTAAAACAAAATTAAAACAAAAATGTACATCAAGTAACTCATAAATAAGTTTCTTATACATAGCAACAATAAAAACAAAGAAAATAAGTTAAAACCTTCGTCTGATAAACAGGAATCACAGTTGTATTAATTAATATGTGGAAATCATAAAATCCTAAAGATGTTAAAATGATAATCTGCTGAGTTATCAAGCACCTAAATGTAACAAGTTGGACATGAATTCAGCTGTAGCATGAAAAATTATTAGCGTTTGTTTGCACGTCAGAAAGAACAGAGCTAACTGTGTTAGCATTAGTTAGCTCCTTTTGCTTTTTTCTAAATCCAAGAATGTAATTGAGCTTCTTCCTTAAATGTTTCCAGGGATAATTACCTTATTTATCTTCTCTTTTTTCCCCCCCTTCAGACATTGCCATGAAGCTCAGAAAGCTGAAGTGCAGCTGGTGCTCTGTAATGTGGTTATTTTCAAGCGTCTGTGGGAGGACAGAAAAAAAACACACACACTCAACAAACACAGCATGCTTGGTTTGATACCTTTTTTGTAACAATCCAAGCCACCGTGCCCAACAAACACACACACACAAAAAAAAAAAAAAAAAAAAAACGAAAAAACGCACTCTGATTTGCAACCTTCGAGAAGATAATGCGTGACTCAGTGACACCCTTTGGACGTCTTACATCAGCGCCGAGTTGTGTCAACACTTCCAGGCTTCTTTCTCACTCACCAAGTCAGCAATTCCAGTTACGAGGAACAGCAAGCGCACATACTTGCTCCTCCGCTATGCAGCTCAGTGAACGTCACAAGAGGTGTCCCAACGTTTCTCTTTCACTGCAGGAAATCTTTCATGTAAAAATTGATGGGAGTGCCTCACACCGCACCACAGAGCGGGCCGCCGCAGAGAATAACAATGGCTGAACTGGCACCTACATAGCAGCCGTAGCGTGCCGTGATGCAGATATTCCCCACACCTTTGTTTTTGTATAACACCAGGTGTCAAATGTGAGGAGATGAAGTTTGAATGCGGTGAATCATAAACGGTTAACAGCCCTGTAAAAAAAATAAATAATAATAATAATAATAATGAAAAGATGAAGAAGAAAAACTAGGCTAACTAGAGGGCGATACAAGAACTGGATTTTCCACTACAGCTGCAAAAACACAAAATCTTACCACTGTTTATCTAGTTTCTGATGAAAATACCTTAGTGCATTTGAAATAATACAAAACTAACCTCTCAAGTAATTCTGTAATATTGATGGAAAAAGTCCTAGTTCCACTGGTAGATGATCAATCAATCAATTAAGCATATTTCAGCGATAAGGCAGTTCAAAGTGCTTTATCGTGAAACACAAATATAAAAAAAATACATAAAATCACCAACTGAGAAACAAGTAATCAATAGATCATCGAAATCACCAATTCATATAAAATATGTTCCAACTATTTATGGTTCAAACCAAACCTGTGTTTAATAAAACTGTGAAATGTTATAATTTCACTTAAACAAGAAAAACCTAAAATATATGCCAGTGGAACGAGCACTTTTCCATCAATATTAAGGAATTATTTACTTAAAACAACTGCATATCTTGCTGAAAAGTTACTTGTAAGTTAGTTTTGTCTTACTCCAACTGTACTAGAAACTAGACCAAAAAAACCACATATTCATTATTCATAAGAAAGATATTTCTCCAGCAATTAGGTCTTTCTGGAAATGAAATGTGCAAAGCAATAGCGAGATTGTCCAAAAAGAGAAGCAACTTTTGGTTCCCCAAATCCTGTTTTCTTCCAATGAATTGCTTCTTTTTTTCCCCATCATGTGTGAGCCCTCTTGCAGATTCCCTCACAGTCGGCAGCAGATTGTTTCAGATTTAGCAGAGCATTTTTCTTGCAGTTTCAGGCAATGTTTGACCCTGACCCATTCCCCACTAATGGGGCGTGAAGACTGTCAAGCAAAATTAAAAAGTGCATGTAGTTCTTGCTATTAAAATTCATTCAAATGTTTAATTTTTACTTTGCTGTCATGGCCCTTGTGAGTGTGAGCCGCCCTCTAACCCGCACTGCATCAACAAGTATTGGGATCTACACAGACGTTTCTAAAAAATATTTTTAAAAACATTTTTTTTTTTGTTAGTTTGAAACAGTCAAACCTTTTGGCATCAAGTTTGACAGAAGGAAAAAGTAAGTCAGCTGTTCTGTAAAACAGACTTGAAAGTGCCTCTTTTATATCAGAGGGAAGTGTGATTCTGACCTGTAATGAGTCAACTTACAAATAAAATGAATCTACATGTAAAAATAAATAGCATCCACATACAGACTACAGTATGAGTGTGTGTAATTATAGACGGCCACATGCCGACTCGTGATCAGACGTTTCTTTCCAAAACCTTATTTGCTGTTCCTCCTCTGTAAGCTAAACTGTGATGCTGATGCAATATAGACATACTGTGCATCGTTTAGACAAAGTGCTGCCTACAGTCAAACATGTCATCCTTATGATTGGATACGTAACTGAGCCAGAAATACGATACATTTGAACAATATCTGCTGCTTTGGGGTTGGATCTACTTGAGTGCTGCCGTCAGTAAAACTGATGATTCTTAGATTTAGATTAAACGAACTACAATTGTTTCAATCTTCTGATTAATATTGTGGTGGTTCCATTAGTAAATCTGAAACTTTATCTGCATCGTAAATCACAGAGTGAATGATTCACAAAATAAAACAATTTTCGAAAAATTGCATATGTCAAACTTTTTTGCAGTTTCAACATGCATTGTCTAATGTTTTTGTTATTCTTATACACTGAGCTTCTTTCTCAGGTTGACTTGATTCCCAGTAAATCCTAATTTGAAGACGTCTTTGCTAATCTGATGAAATTTTTTTTTAATTCTGCAACCTTTCACAGGGGATTTTTTTTTTTTTCACCAAGCTGGTTTCATTGCTGGTTTCATTGCTAAACCGATACTAGCAATACCAGTTCTTTATGTTTAACCTCCAAAGTACCGAGTCACTGCTGGGCCAGAGGAAAGAACTGCCTAGTTCAAGAGGCGAGAATGAAGAATTAAAATGTTAAGAAATACATGCTGTTTTTCTTTCAATTCCTGAGTTAGTTTCACCTTTAAAATGGCAAATTTCAGACAAAACTATGCTTATATAATACATATGAAGTGTGGTGTGATATTTCAGTTTTGATCCGCATACATGCAGTTCAGAAACCAGAAATGCAGGTTGAGATAAGAGAAAGCAGTTTTTATATAATCATCTAGCACAATGGGAAACTTCTGTTGTATTTAAAGTGCATTTATGAATAAACTTTGAATAGGATTTGCAGAAAAAGACATTAACAATGTGATTTGTGTTGGAGAACTGCCCTCAGCTTTGCTGGAAAAACCCAAAGAAGATTATTTGCCAGCTTGCACGAAATACCACTCTATTATGCAGCATGCAAATTACGTTTCACATATATAGAACTGCCATTAACTCTATAATCCCAGATGTAAAACAAATGTAAATCAGCAAAAGTAACCCGAGTACAGTAGCTCTTTTGCCTGATAAAATTATCCAACTTTGTCTCTTGATGATGTTTTGAAGACTCTGCAGACTTCCTTGTTGGCTCCTGCTACATTATAAATTAGCAAACGTGCGGTTTTCTGTGAGCAGGACTGAAAACTGTAGTTTGTATCAGAAATGTGCCATACAGAAGGAAAGAAAAACTGCTTTAAATGCAGTTTCTTCACAAAAACAGCCACAGTCTGAGCTATCTGATGTAAACAGCCGAAGCTAAGCAGTGCATGAAGCCGTCTCTGTATGTAAAGTGAACTAGCTTATAGATTTATCTCATCAAGAACTAAATATGTAAGCATTCTCAATTTCAAGTAACCTTTGCAATGATGATCTAGTTCATTCTCTCATCCTTTCAGCAAAATGCCAAACTTTCACCTAATCCAAAATGACATTATAAAATGCTAATCTTAATCAGCAAAATCCAGAAGAAAAAGTCGTTTAAAAGTGTAAACATGCTCTCAACTACTACTGTTGCAGCCAAAATAACTACATTTGAATGTCCTTTTGCTCCACAAATTAAGCTAAGGGACTGGGAAACAGAAGACTAAGTCTTATTAGATAAAAAGCGCACAGTTACACATCTTATTAGTGGTATTTCTTTCTGCTGTGTATTTGTACAAATGGCTCACAACTACGGAGAACTTCAATAGTAAGATTATTTTTATTTTTGGAGTCTGCTCCAGCATTAATTATAAAAAGAGGATACCAGAATGAATAAATAAATGCTAACAGACTTCTTCTGCAACACAAACAGATGTAAGGATTTTAGTTCAGTTTGTTTACTTTTAACTAATAGTTTAAATCAGGCAGCTGCATACACTCACAATGGATAGGAATGCTATTCTGTCTTTAGAGTTTATTTAGTTTATTTGACCAATTGTTGTTCTAGGTTGTAATTATATTACAAAAGCAGTGTGATGAAAAAGTAAAAGTACTTCCTCAAATATAAACAAGCATATTTTCAAATTTAAACCAGCCAAATTGTATTAAATTATTGATAGTATCTCAATATTTTATTTTCTTTCTACCAACATAAAAAAACAAGGTTCAGCTTGTTTGAAATTCAAAGTAAAGTAGCTCTTCAAATTATTTAAGTTAGGAAAACCTTTTAGGGCCGTTTTTTAGCAACTGCTGTTTCCAAGATTTTCAGCTCAAATAAAGTAAAGTTTATCACATCTCCTTAAAGCCTCTGAACATTTTTTATAAGGCTATTTGGGGTTGGTGAGTTATTTACTTGGAGTGTATCAAGTTCTAATTGTTCTAAATCTCAAGATCATGAAACATTACGATGTTTTTTTGTTCAGGTTGCTGCTATCTCGCAAAAGCTAGCCACTTCCTGTCATCACGGCTTCCCCTGGTGAAGAGGTAATAGAAGACGCCCCGTCTACTCTTCCATTTCCTTGTTGGGCAGCATTTTGTGTTTCCAGTAGTAATAATAAATGGCAGTGGAGTGACAAGGCATGAAGAATATCTAATCGCTGCAAGTTGTCCGGACATCACAAACACAGTGCATGCTGTTAACAGCAACTGGGAAATGTTAAGTATTGAACTGCAGACCGTGCACAGTCACAAATTGAGCTTTTTGACTTCAACAGTTTGGAGGAGTTGAGGTGTAAATTTTAACCCCTGAGATCTGAAGAATGCTGCACCATGAAGCATGGTGGTTTGGCTGCTGATATAAACTGATAAATGAATGAAAATTTGACACAATCTGGAGTTAAAGCTGGAGAATTTACCTTAGAAATTTGTGCAAGGCTACAAAAAGCATGAGACTGAGGTGTATTTAAAAAAATATATATATATATTCTGATTTATGCACCAAAGTATTGGTGTGACCAAACCACGTCTGCAAATGTCATTGCAGACGGGAAAAATGTTCCTAATGAATTACATAGAGGCTCAAATTAATATAACACTAATTTCTTTAATTACTGTTGGTAAAACTGCACATGTATTTTGTCCAGACAGTGCTGCACGGTTCAGAACACGGACATAGAAATAGCTACACAGCATTTATCTTAAGTTGCATCCTTTTTAGTGCGCTTATATATATATATATATATATATATATATATATATATATATATATATATATATATATATATATATATATATATATATATATATATATACACAGTCTGCTGTTATTCTCGATCAGCTCAAGATGAAGCAGCAGAGCTGACATAGGACCAAAAACACATGACACACTCAATAAAAGTATCAAAAGTGTCAGCAGGGGGATTAGCCCAAACAAGGAAACTTTCCACCTCTGCCCACGACTGCTGTGACTCATGCAGAAATGCAACCACTTGTTTATCTCTGCTGTGTGCGAGACTGTGTGTTTGCCCGCATACAAGCCCACGTGGTCAGTGTGTGACCTAGATTGACATTGGTCTGAGTGATGAGAGCAAGCGAAGCACCAATTGGCCACTGCATAGTTTTATGCTGAGACGGAAGA